GTAAAAGTTATCAAAGAGCTTGCAAAAACTCTAGATGATATAAAACGATTAGTTAGAAAGGAAGCAGTTGATTGTCGTAATAAATGGTAAGAGAATTATTTATTTTATAATAATTACTTTGAATAACCTTTTTTTTTTCTCAATTTTATGAATAGGTTTTTACTCACCAGTTCGAAAGCTTGAATCATTATATTTTAATACCGTCTTGTCGCGAAATGACGCCCAGGAGTGTAATTTTGAATTTTGGCCTAAATTAAGCTTAATTCGGGCCATTATTCGAAATGACGCCCATGGGTTTATTTCGCGAAAATACGATAATATATTGAATAATATTTGAAGATTATACAAATCTACTAATAATACGCCACTATGCATTTTTATCTATTTAGCAACTTATGTATTAGCTATTTACAATTATAAATTCAATATTTATTATTATAAAAAATATTTTGAATTGCATTAATAGAACCTGTTAAACTTGGGTTTAAACGTTTATGCAGATCAGTTACATTTTGTTCAAGAAGGTAACACATTGACGTTGAACGCGATAGGATAACAAATTAAACGATCACGTGAAATCCGGCTTTGTAAATTATATAGATGGCAGATGGCAAACAAAAATCCCAAAAATTGATTTATTATCGTTATTAACATTTAAGTCGACATGACTTTTCTTCCTAATGAAATTCTTCAAAAGATATTCAATTTGCTTACAATAAAATGTTATAATATTCATTGTGCTAGAAGTTTATTCAACTGCCTTTTAGTTAATCGTCATTGGTGTGTCAATGCCGTAGTCATATTGTGGAAGGACCCTTTTAGTAATTATAACGGCAAAAAGCCTTTCAATATGATGATTACAAGTTTTCTTGTCTGCCTCAACGTAGAGGAATGCAAAGATCTTGAGAAACATGGTGTTATTATTCCAAATTATGAACCAATGTTTGATTATCCAAAATACCTCAGTCATTTGAATGTTAATGGACTTAAAGGGGCAATATTCGATAAAATTGTAATGAAAAATGAATCTGATCGAGTGCGAAGTCTCGTTATGAAATATATTTTAATAATGTTGTCAAGACGAGAAAATAAATTAGAATCACTTACAATCAGAATTGGTTATGGTTTTTTAACTGTCCCAATTAATGACATTGAAATTCTATTACATCCAAATATCCGAAGCCTGATCGAACCTGTGAAAAAGATAAATTTATTGTTAGGATCTCCGACAGATGGATTCATAATTAAACTGGCTTCAGTTTGTCAAAATTTGGTTTGTGATATTACTTTCCCTTGCATCTTATTTAGATGATCAAACGGCATGTAACAGTAATTGGTCATTTTTGTTAATTTAATAGGACTCATTGAATATATCATTTAGGGATTTTGGTATACAAAACTTTATCGACGTTGCTCATCTTGTCAAAGTCCAAAAATCTTTAGAACTCATACAAATATGTCATGAGGGCTTGTTTGTTC